GAAATTGAGGAAGACACAAAGAAATGGAAAAACGTTCCATGCTCATGGATTGGAAGAACAAATATTGTTAAAATGTCAATGCTACCTAGAGCAATCTACACATTTAATGCAATCCCTATCAAAACACCATCCACTTTTTTCAAAGAAATGGAAGAAATAATCCTAAAATTTGTATGGAACCAGAAAAGACCCCGAATAGCCAGAGGAATGTTGACAAAGAAAAGCAAAGCTTGTGGCATCACAATTCCAGCCTGCAAGCTCTATTACAAAGCTGTAATCATCAAGACAGTATGGTACTGGCACCAAAACAAACATGTAGATCAATGAAACAGAACAGAGAGCCCAGAAATGGACCCTCAACAATATGGTCAAACTAATCTTCGACAAAGCAGGAAAGAATGTCCAATGGAAAAAAGTCTCTTCAACAAATGGTGTTGGGAAAATTGGACAGCCACATGCATAAGAATGAAACTGGACCATTTCCTTACACCACACACAAAAATAAACTCCAAATGGATGAAAGACCTAAATGTGAGACAGGAGTCCATCAACATCCTAGAGGAGAACACAGGCAGCAACCTCTTCGACCTCAGCCGCAGCAACTTCTTCCTAGACACATCGCCAAAGGCAAGGGAAGCAAGGGCAAAAATGAACTCTTGGGACATCATCAAGATAAAAAGCTTTTGCACAGCAAAGGAAACAGTCAACAAAACCAAGACAACCAACAGAATGGGAGAAGATATTTGCAAATGACACTACAGATAAAGGGCTGATATCCAAGATCTATAAAGAACTTATCAAACTCAACACCAAAAGAACAAATAATCCAATCGAGAAATGGGCAGAAGACTTGAACAGACATTTCTGCAAAGAAGACATCCAAATGACCAAAAGACACATGAAAAAGTGCTCAACATCACTCGGCACCAGGGAAATCCAAATCAAAACCTCAATGAGATACCACCTCACACCAGTCAGAATGGCTAAAATTAACAAATCAGAAAACGACAGATGTTGGTGAGGATGCAGAGAAAGGGGAACCCTCCTACACTGTTGGTGGGAATGCAAGCTGGTGAAGCCACTCTAGAAAACAGTATGGAGGTTCTTCAAAAAGCTGAAAATAGAGCTACCCTACCACCCAGCAATTGCACTACTGGTTATATACCCCAAAGATACAAATGTAGTGATCCAAAGGGGTATGTGCACCCCAATGTTTATAGCAGCAATGTCCACAATAGCCAAACTGTGGAAAGAGCCTAGATGTCCATCAACAGACGAATGGATATGAGAAGATGTGGTACATATATATATAATGGAATATTATGCAGCCATCAAAAAATGAAATCTTGCCATTTGCAATGACATGGTGGAACTAGAGGGTAGCTGAGTGAAATAAGTCAATCAGAGGAAGATAAGTATCATATGATCTCAATGATATGAGGATCTGAGAAACAAAACAGAGGATCATAGGGGAAGGGAGGGAAAAATAAAACAAGACAAAACCAGAGAGGGAGACAAAGCATAAGAGACTCTTAATCTCAGGAGACAATTTGAGGGTTGCTGGAGGGGAGGGGGGCGGGAGGGATGGGGTGGCTAGGTGATGGACATTGGGGAGGGTATGTACTATGGTGAGCTCTGTGAATTGTGTAAGACTGATGAATCGCAGATCTGTACCCCTGAAACAAATAATACATTATATGTTAATAAAAAAATTTTTAAGTTAATTATGTAATTATAAAAGACAGTATCAATACATATCACTTTTTCTTTTAACTAATTTCAAAAGAAATTGTATAAAACTATTTATATAATTGCAATGTTGGGCCTGTAATACAGAAAAGTAATAAATCTGACAATAATAGCATAAAGGAAGTGGATGGGAGCAAAGTTGTAATAGAGTAAGGAAATGATACTAGATGGGAACGCAAATCCATACGAACAAATGAAGAGGACCAAAAATGCTAAATAAGAAGTTTAACAAACTATAATTACATGCTTGCTCTCCTTTATCCACTTCTGTAATAGGTGTAAAATTATATAAGTATTAATTATAACAGTGTACTTTTGGAATCGTAACACATGTAGATAAAATGTGTATAACAATAGTAGCACAAAAATAGAGAAGAGGGAACAAAACTATATCAGCTCTCTAGAATTAAGTTAATATAAATCTGAAGTTGACCTGGTAATTAAATTGTGTATAGTAAGGCTCGGAGCAACTACTAAGAAAATAAGTCAAAAATATATATAGTGAAAAAATCATTAAAGGAATTTAAATGTTACACTAGAAAATAGTCAATGCAAAAGAAAGCAATAAATAGAGTAACAAAAATTACATGAGGCATCAACAAAAAACCAAAATGGCAAACATAAACCCGGCTATATTGATAATAATATTGTTAGTGGATTAAACAATCCATAGAAAAGGCAAATTGTCAGATGTATTAAAATAAGATATCCAGCTCTATGCTCTGTACAGGAGACACATTTTAGATTCAAAGATACAAATAGTTTGAAAGTAAAAAGACGTAAAGAATACACAAAATGCAACCAAAGTAAAGCTGCAGTAGCTATGCAAATATCAGACAAAATAGACTTTAAAACAAAGTGTTGCTAGAAATAGAGAAGGATATTTTATAATGATAAAGGGGTCAATTTAGTATGAAGTTGTAACAATTATAAATATATATGCACCTAACAACAAAGTTCCCGCATATGTGAAGCAAAAACTGTCAGAATTTAAGGCAGAAATAGACAATGGAAAAATAATAATTGTAGATTTCGGTATCCCACTTTCAATGAAAGATATAGCAAGTAGGCAGAATATCAACAGATAAATAGATGACTTGAAAAATATTACACACAATAGATCTCATAAGTATCTATACACATTTCATCTAATAGCAAAATCTATGTTCTTCTCAACCACATGTAGAATATTCTCTATGATAGAGTATACATTAGGCCACAAAAAAAGCCTGAATGAATTTAAAAGATTCAAATTACACAGTGTAGTTTCTGATTACAATGGAGTGAAATTATAAATTTACAATAGGAAGAAATGAGAAATTCACATATTTGTGGAAATTAAACAACATACTTCTAAATACTAATGGTGAAAGAAAAAATCACAAAGAAAATTAGGAAATATTTGACATGAATGAAAATGACATAACACACAAAACTAATGAGATGCAGCTAAAGCAGTGCTTAGAGGGAAATTTATAGCTGTAAATTCCTACATTAAAAAGTTCTCAGATAAACAATCTGTCTACCTAAGACAGCCAGCTAAATCCAAAGAAAGAAGGAAATAAGGGAATTAATGAAACCAAACGTTAGTTCTTTGAAAAGATCAATGAAAGTGACAAACCTTTAGCTATACTGACCAAGAAAAAAAAAAAAAACAGAGAAGATTCAAATCACTAAAATCAGAAAGGAAAGATCCACTACAGAAATAAGAAGTCAAAGGGGGTGATCAGCTAAACAGTCTCATTGCAATGCATTTAAATTAGACTACATTGTTAAAAATGAAAACCTCTGGGGGGGAGACGAACCAGGAGAGATGATGGACTCTGAAAAACAAACTGAGGTTTCTAGAGGGGAGGAGGGTAGGGGGATGGGTTAGCCTGGTGATGGGTATTAAAGAGGGCACATTCTGCATGGAGCACTGGGTGTTATGAACAAACAATGAATCATGGAACACTACACCAAAACAAATTATGTAATATATGGTGATTAACATAACAATAAAAAAATTTTTAAAAAATGAAAACCTCTGGAATAAACATCATGATGGAGGGGACTGCAGCACAACAGGGATAATTTGAGACATGTTGGATATTTGTGACCACACTTATCCTCTTGGTCATGTTCTCTTTTTTTATAATATTGAAGTATACCTGATATACAATGTTATATTAGTTTCAGGTATACAACATAGGGATTTTGCAATTCTATACAATACTCAATGCTTACCACAGCAAGTGTAAAGTAGGATTAATGAGTTACTGGATTTAAATGATAGTTTCTTCTTTAAACTTAACCAATAATTATGAGAGCTATGGATAAAAATTATATAAATATTTTGAAACTATTTTAGGTTACTATGTGTTACCTCCCCTGACTAGAATTTAAATTCTTCAAGGATAACAGATTTATTATCTGGGTTTTCAAGTTTTAATTAAAAGTTTACCACAGTCTAGGTCAGTGTACAATTCATAACATAATTCATATATATATAATGCAATATTACTCAGCCATCAGAAAGGATGAATACCCAACTTTTACATCAACATGGATGGGACTGGAAGGGATTATGCTAAGTGAAATAAGTCAAGCAGAGAAAGTCCAATTATAATATGGTTTCACTTATTTGTGGGACATATGGAATAGCATGGAGGACATTAGGAGAAGGAAGGGCAAAATGAAGGGGGAGATGAACCATGAGAGACTATGGACTCTGAGAAATAAACTGAAGGTTTTTTGGGAGGTAGGGGGATGGGTTAGCCCAGTGATGGGTATTAAAGAGGGCACGTATTGCATGGAGCACTGGGTGTTATACGAAAACAATGAATCATGGAGCACTACATCAAAAACTAATGATGTACTGTATGGTGACTAACATAACATAATAAAATAAAATAAAATAAAATAAAATAAATTTTTTTGAAAAAATAACATAATTCATAAATGTTGTCAAGTGGCTGATGGCAATGCTGTTAAGTTCTAATATAACAAACTCTTTAGTGTTTTTATATAGCTGAGTGATTTGTACTCATTGAATATTAGAACATGCAGTTAATCAAATAAAAAATTATTTTTAATCTCATCACCTCAAAATATAACAACTGGTATTTTTTGGAATATTCTTCTGAGAGATATTGCTAATTCTAATGAATAATCCATATATAGATTTCAAATTTAAGGTTTTAATGAAAAGTTTGTTGTCATGTTCCCTCATGAAAGCTAAGGTATTGTTACATCTTCTGCTTGATCCCTAGGTCTCTATCCTGCTACCAGTGGTGAGGCCTATATTAATGGATATGACATCTCACAGCAGATGGTCCAGATCAGGAAAAGCTTGGGCTTGTGTCTCCAACAAAATTTGTTGTTTAATTACTTGACCGTGTCAGAACACCTTTATTTCTATTGTGTGGTAAGCCAAAAAAGATATGTTCCTTTTTCCCACTCTATTGATGTACTTCAGGTAGATTACCAAATATCAATATCCTTATTCTTAGAAAGTTCAAAAACTGATTTTTGATGAATTCTCCTTTAAATGTAAAGACAGGCTAAGGGAAGAAGACACTATAGAAAACATATAAGAAAAGGCTTGTTTAAAGTGTTTCTAAGGAAAAAGCTGGAAGCACCATGTAAACTGGTTTCTCTTTCTAGGTAAAAGCAATACCTCAAAAGACACGTCTTATGGAAACTGATCATATGCTGGCTGCTTTTAACCTGCTAGATAAGCGTAATGAATTTTCATGTTCACTGAGTGGAGGAATGAAGCGCAGACTCTCCATGATAACAACTATTAGGGGGGGTAAAAAAAAAAAAAAAAAAAGGGGGGGGGACACTAAAAATGGATCCCCACCAAAGCTGGTCTAAAAAGATCAGCCAACAGAAACCTGAGAGCTGATAAGGATCTAACACTGTAAAAAGAACCTTACAAATTAATCCCATATGGAATTTACATTATCAAATTATTGTAATAAATTTGTCAAGGTTTGGAATTATTCTAGCATTCCTAATTCAGTTTTAGTCTAAACTTGTTAGCTTAACTGAACAAGTGACTGAAAAAGCAAAACCAGAGTAAGCCCCATAAGTGACACTTAGTGACCTTAGTGACACTAGTACATAATGCTTAATGGTTATAAAATTGTTCTTCTGGACTTTAGGTGGTGATACTTGATGAACCAACATCTGGCATGGACCCAACCTCAAGGAGGGCCACCTGGGATGTCCTTCAGCAGTATAAACAGGATCGTACCATCTTATTGACCACCCACTACATGGATGAAGCTGACTTCCTGGGTGACCGCATAGCCATCATGGTCAAGGGATCCCTGCGGTGCTGTGGCTCTTCAGTTTTCCTGAAAAAAATATATGGTCTCTCCCTTTGATTATTTTTTGGATATTGATATCTTAATATTCTTCAAACATAATCTTCATGGATATTGATGTCTTAGGAATACTATTCTAATATAATTTCCATAATTTTTTGTCTACCTCCCCAAAACTTCTGTGATTTCCTCTATCCTTTTATTTGGGGCTCAGCTATGAGCCCTTTGAAGTAATGGTCATAGTTTATTTATTTTTAATATGGAAGTGTAATTGACATACACTGTCCTATTATTTTCAGGTGTACATCCTAGTGATTCAGTATTTTATACATTACAAAATGATCCCCATGATAAGTCTAGGTACCATCTGTAACCATACAAAGTTATTACAATATTATTGACTGTATTCCCCATGCTGCATATTATATCCTCATTGCTTATTTATTTTGTAACCAGAAGTTTATTCCTCTTAATCCCCTTCGCCTATTTGCTTGACCTCCAACCCCTTCTGTTTCTGGTAACTGACAGTTTGTTCCTTGTATCTTTGAGTCTGTTTTGTCTACTTTTTTTGTTTTTTAGATTCTACATGTAAGTGAAATTATTTGGTATTTGTCTTTGTCTGATTTATTTCACTTAGCATGACACCCTCTAGGTCCATCCATGTTGTTACAAATGGCAAGATTTCATTTTTTATGGCTAAGTAATATTCCATTGTATATATTTACCACATCGTCTTTATTTGTTCATCAGTGGGTGGACACTTAGGTTGCTTCCATAACTTGGCTCTGGTAAATAATGCTGCAATAGACATAGGGGTGCATATATCTTTTTGAATTGGCATGGTTGTGTTCTTTGAGTAAATGCCCAGTAGCAGAATTACTGGATCATATAGTAGTTCTATTTTTAATTTTTTGAGGAACCTCCACACTGCTTTCCACAGTGGTAGCATCAGTTTCCATTTCTACCAACAGTGCAAGAGGGTTCTTTTTTCTCCATATCCTCACCATCACCTGTTGTTTCTTGTATTACTGGTTTTAGCCATTCTTTTTTTTTATTATTATTATTGTTATGTTCAGTTAGCCACTGTATAGTACATCATTAGTTTTTGATGTAGTGTTCAATGATTCATTAGTTACATATAACGCAGTGCTCATCACAAAACGTGCCCTCCTTAATACCCATCACCCTGTTACTCCCCCATCCCACCTTCTCTCCTTTGAAACCCTCAGTTTTTTTTCCCAGGGTCCATGTCTCTCATGGTTCATCTCCCTCTCTGATTTCCCTCCCTTCACCTATGGTCCTCTGTGCTATTGTTTATGTTCCACATATGAGTGAAACCATATGATAATTGTCTTTTTCTGCTTGACTTCTTTCACTTAGCATAATCCCCTCCAGTTCCATCCATGTTGATGCAAATGGTGGATATTCATCCTTTCTGATGGCTGAATAATATTCCGTTGTATATACGTACTGCAGAGGAACTAGTCAACAAAATTAAGAGGCAACCTACGAAATGAGAGAAGATATTTGTAAATGACATTGCAGATAAAGGGCTGGTATCCAAGATTTATAAAGAACTTCTCAAACTCAACATGAAAAACAAACAGCCCAGTCAATATATGGGCAGAAGACACAAACAGACACTTCTCCAGAGAAGACATACAAATGGCTAACAGACACGTAAAAAGTGTTCAACATCACTAGCCATCAGGGAAATTCAAATCAAAACCACAATGAGATACCACCTTACACCAGTTAGAATGACAAAAATTAACAAGACAGGAAAAAACAAATGTTGGCGAGGATGTGGAGAAAGGGAAACCCTCTTACACTGTTGGTGGGAATGCAAGCTGGTACCATCACTCTGGAAAACAGTATGTAGATTCCTCAAGAAGTTAAAAATAGAGCTACCCTATGATCCAGCAATTACACTACCAGGTATTTACCTCAAAGATACAGATGTAGTGAAAAGAAGGGGCACATGCACCCCAGTGTTCATAGCAGCAATGTCCACAATAGCCAAACTGTGGAAGGAGCCAAGGTGCCCTTCAAAAGATGAATGGATAAAGAAGATGTGGTTTTAGCCGTTCTGACAGGTGTGAGGTGATATCTCCTTGTGGTTTTGATTTCTATTTCCCCGATGATGAGTAATGTTGAGCATCTTTTCATGTGTCAATTAGCCATCTATATGTCTTTGGAGAAATGTCTTTTCAAGTCTTCTGCCCGTTTTTAAATTGAATATTTGTTTTTTGGTGTTGAGTTGTATAATTTATTTGTATATTGTGGATATTAACTCTTTATTGGATATCATTTGCAAATATCTTCTCCCACTCATGATGCTTTTTGTTTTGTTGACATTTCCTTCACTGCGCAAAAGCTAGTATTGATGTAGTCTCAATAGTTTAATTTTGCTTTTGTTTCCCTTGCCAGGAGACGTATCTAGAAAAATGTTTCTATAGTCAATGTCAAAGAGATTACTTCCTGTGTTTTCTCCTAGGAATTTTTGGTTCGCAAGCATTTTCTTTTATTCTGTAGGTTGCCTTTCCATTTTGTTGATTGTTTCCTTTGCCATTCAGAATATTTTTATTTTTTAATTTCTTTTTTTTAGTTTTATTTTATTTTATTATGTTATGTTGGTCACCATACAATACATCATTAGTTTCTGATGTAGTGATCCAAAAAGATTTATTGATTTATTTTAGAGAGTGAGAGAGAGAGCTAGTGAATGGAGGGAGGTGCAGAGGGAGAGAATCTTCAAACAGACTCTCCACTGAGCACAGAGCCTGACTCAGGGCTCAGTCCCACGACCATGAGCTCCCGACCTAAGCCGAAACCAAGAGTTGGATGCTTAACTAACTAAGCCACCCAGGCGCCCCCAGAATCTTTTTAGTTTGTTGTGGTCACACTTGTCTATTTTTT